GGAACAAGGACGCTACTAGGGGCTCCTGGCCTTACTACTAGGAACAATTTTTGCAATTTTAAACAATAAATAGAATTACGTTGAATAATTTAATCCTAATAGCTTTTTGTTACTAGTAGTAAGGCACTTGTTACTATTAGAAATACTAAATACATAGAATTATAGTTAAGCCGTACCGAGCCAAGGAACCGGAGGGTCGCACGATGGGGATGCCTTTCATGTCGCTCTCCTCCACCTCGGTGGAAGGAAGAACAAGACCGGGATTTTTCAGAGAGAAAGGTGGTGAGAAAGGTGCTTGAGATGGCTTGAAGTTACAGAAGTTGCTTCAAACACGTCGAGAAACATAGCAAGGAACACCTGAAAGGTGTCCATAAGGTGTCCTGTTAGGCACTACGTAGGACCGATAGCCAAACATCACCAGGCCACGAGATGGCTGGTCACGCGCCGGTACCATTCCACAAAGTCCGCGTCGGAGGGCTTCAACTTGCTAAGCCTTGGGATGAGCAAGGACGCTACTAGGAACAAAGGGCATCGCTACTAGTAACAAGTGCCTTACTAGTAGTAACAAAAAGATATTAGAAACAAGAATTAAATAGAAACAATAAGCTACTTGCTAAGCCTTGGGATGACTGTGGCACAGGGAGAATGAACTGCTTTGGCATCTCAGGCGACCATACCCAGTGAAGTGGTCGGGCTATTGTGTCCAAGAGATGGACTTTTGGGGAAGGCATATAGAGTGATATATGACAGGATTAAACTAGTAACAAGTGCATCGCTACTAGTAACAAGTGCCTTACTAGTAGTAACAAGAAGCTACTAGTAACAAGTGCATCCCTACTAGTAACAAGTGCCTTACTAGTAGTAACAAGAAGCTACTAGTAACAAGTGCATCGCTTCTAGTAACAAGTGCATAGCTTTCAAGGCTCCGTCCTTGACGCTTTCCTCTGGCTAACACATTCCTTTAGAGATTCGTTAGAGCGTGCCAAGGAGGACCCACAACTATGTCCGATCAACCAACTCCCTCTTAGGCCTACCAGAACATGTAAGTAGCATCCTTTGCTCCTGGTAGCGATGCCAGGAGCCCCTAGTAGCGTCCGTGCTCCTAGTAGCGATGCCCTTTGTTCCTAGTAGCTTCTTGTTAGTATCTGAAACGGTCAGTTCCATCCGAACTCTTCTTCGAGCCACGCGTTGTACACCACCGGCACTTGTGTCCTTTCTCCATACGCCAGGCCCACACGGTCGATGAGGGGCTGGGCGGCGCGTGCTTGGAGTCGCAGGGCCTCGAGAGTCCAGGGCACAGATATGTACAATTAGTCTCTTCTCATCTAAGAAGAAAACTCGGAACGAATTAGATGTCAAACTTGGAACCAAACCTACAAAGACCATTGTTTCGAAGAAGTTCTCCCAACTCTTGAACCCATTGCCTTTTCTATAGTATATAATCTTATAAACCATCCTTCCTTCTGAATCTCTCATCTCAATCCTTTCGATTTCCCCACTCTTTTACCCCTCCCCCGCTCCCGGGGTCCTCTCGGTCAAAGGGCCCCAGCTGCGCTTCCATCAGAGCTTCGCGGCAGCAGCTGCTGCGCAACATCGGATCCTTTCGCTTTTCCCCACAGCGGCTCCGCCGCGCCCGGGGGTCGCGCAAGCCCTTGGCCGCGTGCTGGAAGGACCTCGCGTGAGGCGCGGAGAGGGCGGCTGGAAACCAAGCGAGCTGGCAAGGAGCGTTCATTCATGGAGATAAAAACTGCAGAACATATTTATCATTCAAATGGATCTGTTTTGAAGAACCATGGCGCTGCGCCTCGCGTGCCAGTATTCTTCAAAGTGTCGAACGCGGCCGTCGGGCGCGAAGCGGAGCTTGGCGATCTGCAGGAATTGCACCTCAGGATCCGCAGGATTGTGCTTCTTGTTACTACTAGTAAGGCACTTGTTACTACTAGCGTGGCACTTGTTCCTAGTAGCTTCTTGCTACTAGGTGAAGAGAAAGGCTCAACGGATGGGTGATGTCAAAGATTGGAGGATCCGCTGAAGAACTTCAAGTGAAATGGAGAGCTCTGTAGATATAATGGCCAGTGCAGAACTTTATGACATCTCTTTTAAAGATTCTTTTCTTCGTCCATTGTGAACAAATCCTTTCAATGCAACCTGCCATGCCAAACCTCCACACCCGACCGAACACCCCCTCGATGAAGAACCAAGCTGCAACGGATAAAAACGACATAGAACCGACCAAAAGATGCTTGATCTTCGATACTGGATCCCTCTGCATCCCCCAAAAAATCTCTTCTGCATATGCGTTTTTCCCCCGAGCATCGATTGGCCAGGCCACCGTCTTCCAGGGCTTCTCGTCGCTCTGCCGCACTTCGAACCGCGCCTCCCACTTCACCACGGCCGTGGCCATGGCGTCATCCAAGACCAGGTCCTTCCGTTTGACGGCGGTCAGCAGCGGTTTCGTGAGGTGGATGGATGGGAAGGTTGATTTATCAGAATAACATAAAATCTAAGAGGAACATCCCAAGAACCAGGAGAAGAAGGTGCTTGGACGCACTCTGGGCCATTTGGCTAAGAAACGCAACCCCGCACTTGGACCCCTTCCTCTCCCCCCCTTTGAAGCCCGCAAACCCGCGCGTCTCCGGTCGGGCTTCGCTCCTCGGGAAAGTGCTTGAACTCCACGTTGCGCTCACGGCCCTGGATGTGAGTGCTCCAGTACTTCTCGATGCCTCACGCACATCCAACCAGCTTCAGACCTTCTTCTTCTCCCCCAACCCCGACTCATGTTCGACACTGGAGACCAGACCCCCACACCGGCGACAAGCGTCAGCAGCCCAGAGATCCCAGAGTAAAGGACACAAGGTGTGGGTAGGGGTGGAGGACTTGGCTCTCAAACGACTCCGCAGCGAACATCTGAGTCCGGACTCTCAGGACCGAAGGCCTGGATGACCTCGATAGATGCCATTCTCCGGGTCATAGGGACGCTCCACATACTCGCCGTCTTCCTCACATTTGGGCTCATGGATGCTCATGGCTTTTCACGAAGAAAACCACCCGGAAACAATGACACGTGTGACAGGATATGCGTGTTGGCGTGTTGGGTACTTTTTGTCCTGTAGCAATCTTTTCTCGATGAGTGACGAGATCAGGCCAAATGCGTTGTCTTGTGAAGACGCCTGGAAGAATTTTAGCTATATAGTAGCCTGACTCTAGTAGAGGAGGGATGCTTTTCCATTCACCGAGTGGATGATTGACCAACAACCTGTTAAAGAACCCTAGGTCTAGCTCATTTCGGCAACTTGCAAGGCAACTCTTGGAAAGACCTAGGAGACAAATGAAGCAACAACAGACTTCGGGCAGTCAAGTGCCAAGACTTCCAGTTAAACTCCCAACTTCCGTTAACAAGAGTAGAATCAGTTCAGCAGTAATGACCTTCAACACGAATTACGATGAACTGAGAGCATGTGCGTCTCTACTATGCTTTCGGGTGATCTGTTTGAGACAACACTTTTAATGCGGCGATGTATTCACCAAACATCAAGAAGCGATGGTCAGGGACCAACCGGCACGGACCCCGTTGAATCCCTTTCTTGTAGGGCAGAGACTGGGAATCTGGACGATATCATGCTTGTCCAATCAGTCCATGCGGAGCATGGCAAGCGTTTCTCTTGTCAACACCATTGCATCTGAGCATCAGTGAAAAGACCTAGGATACCTGGAACACTCTGCTCTTTCCAAGCCTTTCCATAGCGAACGACCCAATCAATGGCATGATCTCTGGTAAGACTTGGCATCTTGCCAGTCTTGAGCCGAGACTGGTCGAATAGCGTGTGCCACTGCTTGGTCAATCAAACTTTGATTCAGGCACAGCTGTTGCCCATCTATGGCCACATCTGGTTGCAAAAAGAATGAGAAGTTCTCCTTTCGAAATTATGGTTTCAACGTTACGCGAGAAAAGATTGAATGAACACGGAGACCTCTTTTTCTTTTTTTCACCGGCAGTGCTCTGGTTCCTCACGCTTATGCGTGGGTACGCTGTTGTTTCTCACAGCGTATGCCACTCAGCACTCCAGATCCAACTGAGCCAAAAGGTCCAACATCCCCAAAGGCCCGAGATTTCTCAGATTTCTTCAATTTTTCAACAGCAAAATCTCCAAAAGGTTTTTGGCCATCCTCCTCTTCCTCCTCATTCCTTTCTTCTCTTTCGGTCTTCCGGATTGGTCTTGACTTTGTTCGGTGGCGGCTGCCGTTTGGGCCCGAAGTGCTGCCGGTCATCCCTGCGGCTGCTCCCCTCCCGGATGACTCACTGCACCTCTCGACGGTGCACCGAAGGGAGGTGAATGGATTCTTGTTCGCCTAGGTGGGCCTCTGACGATAAACTACAATTACCGTGTTTATTCTTGGGAGTTGAACAAAATGGCACAAGCATGTCCTAGCACTCTACAACACATGAAGTATTAACAGGACATTCTGCAGATCCTGAAACATCTTCAAACCATCGGTCGGTCTGCAAATGGAAGCAGTGGAACGCACTTCGATCAAGCATGAACCGTCATGAGTGTATGCTATGCTACACTATGGCACATAGCTACCTCCCCCCTCGCCTGCCCGGTCTACCCAAGGTCTAGTGGAGCTGCGGCATGGGGAAGAACTCGTCGAAACCTGCCGTCAAAGAGGCCGCTTTTGTGTGATGGTCCCACCGAAACTGCAGTGTTCTTCGCATTTGCAGATCTGGGGATGGTCCTAAGTGGGATGGGTGAGACACCAAGTAACATCTCTCGCTGTGGAAAAGAAACCACCTAACATTCCCCAATCTCATGCCACACCTTGCTTTTATCAAATGACACTAAGAGCCAGGATACTGTCTCTTCTCATCTTAGAGGATACCTTGCTTTCTATGCTTTTAGCAGGCTATTTCGCTTGACACTCTGAACAGCATTGAGCTTCGCTGCCGACCACCGGGCTGAAGGAGGGCCGTGCCGAGGCTCCAGGCCACGGTGGACCATCTGCGGAGCCGTCTCGCCCGTGGCATCCAACTGGGCTTTTGGCGAGGCGCGTGGGCACGTGGGCACGTGCGCGGTCCATGAGATGTCACGACAAAACGAGGGAGACACATGCTCTGCCCTACGGGGTCTGAAAGCTTCATTTGCAGCTCTGCAGTTGGTCTTTTCTCAGGCAACGACCAAGGTGGCGTTCACCAAACGGTCCACAGCGTCCTGAGGACGAGAAGAATCCCGAGACAAATCACCTCAATTTTCTTCATGTCTTTTCCTCGTGCCCCCTCAGGTTCACAATGTGAACCAATAGGAGGTGAACTATGGTGAAATCACACGTGAGCCGGGTTGTCTGCACGCGGATCCCGCCGAGGACCAAACAAGGATTGGTATTTGACTTGCTCTTTCAGCGGTTTCTCTGGACAACTCATGACTTGGATGGAGATACAAACGCCAAGTGGGACAAGGTCATGGCGGCAAGGGCGAGGACCCCTGAGCAGATAGGTGCTACCTGAAGAAATGGCACGTTCATTTCTTTCTCTGCGGTGAAGGAGACACAACTTGTTTTCCCGCATTCATCACTTGGCCAAGGCACAAGCCACCGGGGCTGGCTCTGATAGCGTCTTACCACCTCTTCTGCCTGGCGAGTTCGATGTGCAAAAAGTCTTTTTGAGTGACATGCAGTGAGTTTGAAGATTCATTCTGTGCAGGGAAACCGTCCAATCGAAGGGTTTATAGTCCGTTTAACCCAAACCCTCCAAATGAAGCTTCCACAACATCTCCTTGGAAGACGTCATGTCCAATTGAAGAGGGTTTGGAACAGTCATTTGGCTTCAAACCACTTCACCTTAGCCTTGCAAGCATCATCTTACCTGTTTCTTGCCTGAACAAGGCGGGTTGAACCTCAAATCTCAAAACCCCCCCCGCCGAGCCATCCTTCAGACCACCGAAAGCTGCCGGTTTCCGGCTCCGCACCGGGCCGGTGACGTTCATCCAGTGACGTGGAATGAGCTTGGAGACCAGTGGCCTGTGAACAGAAGAGGCTCGGAAGCGGAACAGTTGAAAAGCCGAATGAGCTCTCCGGTTGAAGTGGAAGAATCCATCGGATCTGATCTTCAAGACTAAAACCGAAAAGGGATGCAAGAAAACAGTCCCTCTCTCTCATCTGTTTGCTATGTCTTTGCATTGATGGCGTTCAGGCATAGACACCACTTTTGGGATATCATGCCAAATCAAAAGGTCGCGATTGTATGACATCTGGAAAGCATTCTTCAGGCGATCCACTCACAACAACAAGAAAAGGTATGTCGGTAGCTACCACGTTTGTGCTTAGAACAGCCTTCTGCTGTGCAAAAAAAGCACCCGTAACGTCGTCAAGCTAGGTTCGTCTGAGTCTCGCTTTCACGGGTGTGACACACTTCGATCGAACGCCGAACGTCGTGGGCTGAAGAAGTAAAAGCGAGGAAGAAAGCGAGGGCGGTTTCTTCAAACCAAAGACCCTGGCGCATTCGAGTGGGACATAGTCGCTACTAGGTACTGAGTACATACAATTACATGCCAACGCCCCCCCACACAACTGTTTCGACCTTGGAAAATCCTCCTCACCAAGTCACTTCCTTCAGCTCTTTAACCTACTCTTCTCATGGAAAGCACCCGGGACGGATCCCAAATCATGAACTCTCCACCGTCTCCGGGGTTGAAGTAGATCGAGTCATATCCTCAGGTGCCCAAGTGCTTCGTGCTTCGGGACCAAGAAACTGAGACGAAGATGTGTGGACGCCAAAAACGAGGAATTTAGATTCCTTTGCTAGTAATTACAAGTGCATCGCTAGTAGTAACAAGTGCCTTACTGGTAGTAACAAGAAGCTAGTAATTACCTTTTCTAATTAAAGGAATTGGAGGATGATTTTTTTGAAAGGGAGGCGCTCCCTGGAAGACGCTTGGAACACATGAACTCTTCGGAGAGCGACCGGACTCACACAGAGCTAAGGATGAAACATAAGGAAGAAGCTAGTAGAAACAAGTGCCTTACTAGGAACAAGGACGCTACTAGGAGCAAGTGCCGCGCTAGTAGTAACAGGTGCCTTACTAGTAGTAACAAGAAGCTAGTAGAAACAAGGCAGTGTTATAACATCACTTATGACGCAGTGTTGGCCCATAAGACCGGCGGAATCGGTGCGGAGGTCAGGCTTTTCGGCTCCTTCTCAACAGGCGAGTTCAAGCAGATTCTTTGCCCCGAACAACACAGTAGCAAGGCAAGGGCATGACCAGGCCATGGCTTCTCCGGGATTTTGGGACATGGACCAAAAAGATAGACCCAAACCGAAGAAATCTGACTTGAATCTCATCGGGCCAAGCGTCCCTCCGATTGGAATTGACCTGGAGGCCAGCTTGGGGTCGAATGTGCTACAAGAAGGCTTTCTAGAGATTACCTTTCAAGGCAAACAAACAAACTTTAGATTCTAGATCTTTAAAGTAGAGAAAGCTTCATCTGATGCTCCAAACAATGTGGGCTCACATTGTGAAAGGCTCTTATGCGAGAACTCTCACCTCACCGTTCAATCTATACCAAGGACCAACCTCACCACCGTGGCCTCCTTGATAGGACCGGTCAATGCATCGAATCGCTTGCTGCACTCCAATTCCCCAGCATCTGGGAGAAGAGGTACCTTCAGCCGGAGGGACGATGGGCGTCGGAGCCCAGCTGGATCAAGCGAAACGGTTCTACTTCTAGGTTTGAGTTTATGGTGAGGTGGTGAGGTGTTAGATGGACAGTTTCAAGAGGAGGCATGTTCGATTGGAAGAATGGTGACAGCACAAGCCTTCGGACAACGAAATGAAACTCGTCAGCTTATTCCTCATTCCTCTCTCTAACTGGAGCTCTATAACTGACACTTCCCGGTCACTCAACACACACCAGCCTTTTTTCACTCGGGTGTCACAAAGGAGAACGTACTGATGTACTGTTCCATGCCTCTGGCGAGGCACAGTAAGCGGGCATGTACTTCGTTCGCCCCAAATCCACCTTGGCCTCAATGATGAAGCCATGAGCAGAGTCCAGTCCTCGCAGATCCGCGAGCAAATGGCACGGCAGAATGATTCACGAGTGACACATCGGAAAGCATCGCTAAGATGAATGACCAGGCTGGCCAGTGTCTTTGTCACCCTCATGCGCGATGTTGATCTAGTTTGGATTTGATCTACGTAGTCATCAGCAGATCCAAAAGAAACCAAGCACCCAACGGAAGCAGCGGATGAGGAAACAAGGCAAGTGCTCACCACCGATATGCCGTCACATAAATAGCCACCCCCCCACCCCCCCACATATTAGCACCAACAAAACCACTGAATGTTCCACTGTCTGCTCATCCCGGACCATCGTTTCGGATCCTTCCGGGGACACCCATGACCAACCCAAGAAGGCTGTGGTGATCGCCCGATCACGTCCCGTCTACCGCGGGGACCGGTCGACCGCGATGCTGCCAGGAGACCCACAGCTTTGTGATAGGTGGACCATGCGCTCAATGCGAAATAGATACCACCGCCGCACCAGCCGATGTGTCCTCGTCCTCAATAGTACACACATGGATTTTTTTGACCACGTTCGAAGGTGGCAGGTACGGTTGAGGTTGTCCGAACTGCTTCCAAAACAACAACTGCAAGTCATAGTTGGTCATGATTTACGATGTTGAGTTGGATTTGGGGAGTGGTTGGGTAGATAAGGTTGGTGGGAACCTGGCCTTGAACCGCCTGTACGTGAAGGGATTTCAAGACATTCTCCAGGCCAACAGCCCAAACATGCCCAAACCACCACTGATTCCTAACGCCCTAGGGCGAACTTCGTGCTTGTGTCAAAAGAGTGGAAGTAGATTACATGATGCAACTCCTACGACATGACGTGTATCTATCTGCCTATTCATCATGGCCTTTTTCGATCTACATAGCCCACTCTTCTTTCTTGCGTTGCTGCCTGGCAAAGCATCACGCCCACCACGGCAAAGCAGTGATGAAAACTGAATCTTAGACATACGTCTAGGTGCCTGCACTGAAGATCAGAAGTTCCTGGCACCGGGTCTTTGCTCGGTCAAGCTCCCAGACTTCCCGTCCCTTTGACGGGTCATTTTTCTTCCGGTCGAGTCGACCCGCTCGCCTCCGTTCGTGAACCCAAGGGGCGAAAGCCACCGTTCAAGATCTTGGGACCCGCGGAGGTGCTGGTCTGATGATACCTCAAGCGGAGAAGAGGAGAGGGGCAAGCGGGCAAGCGGAAGAGCTGAAGAGCAGCTGTGTCGACCTGCCGGAGGGAGATGAGAGATCTTTAAAGAATGGTCTTAGTATGTCTTAGTTGCTTAGTTGACGAAAGAGGTTTCTGAAAAGAACACATTTGGAAGACTTGCCATGACGAGGACAAATCGGGACATCCTCTCTCTGTCTTGGGAGGCGCCAGATGTTTTTGACCGTGAAATTCCTTGTGAAGTGCCATTCCACGAAAGTGCCATCGGTAAACTCGACCGGAGATTCAAATGCAGCGCAAGAAAGAGTCCAACAAGCCGAAGTAGTGGGGAACAAACTTGTATGTCCATAGCTGAAATGCAGTATGTTCTATATTTAAGAATCACCACATCACTCGCACGTGCTATACCCAACTCATATATCTGCCGAGATGCAAATATCTGATGTTGCCACCGTGTCGAATATGCCCAGAGCTCTGGCTGGACTTCAAAAGTGGCGTCTCGTTGTATTCGGGTTGCGCGGCGAGAAAAATCTCCAGGCAATCCTCATCATCCGACAGGTGTTACAGCCGAATCTCAAAACTACAACCATCTAACCCTGTGACTGAACACGTGCCCGCAGTATTTTATTGGGGGTGAGAGAACAAGCAAGGATTTTGTTGAACATATTTTTGCTGGCACAAGGTGTCTGCTGCATACTGCATATTCCTTTTCAATCATACACACAGCTTCTCGCGCAAAGGCCCATTGTAAGTCGGAAATGATCTACCTCCTTGACCCACTTAACAAGTATGATTTCCTCCATGCAACGAGCACCAAGGTTCCTCATGTGAGACCGTCTCGTTGGTGACGCTCTCGTTGACCTCACTCCTCAGTCGATGGACAATCTCTTCTTGCCAACCTTGAAAACCTCTGGTTGAGCACCATTAGTTGGAGTAAATCAAGTTTCCAGTCAGTGGAACCTGCACAGAAATACCACATTGCTGACACTACATTTGACATACTCGCCTCAGTGCAACGATATACTCATCTGTTTACTTCTTGCACTTTCCAACAAAAGACCAGGTGGCTCCAAAAACACTTCAAAACAGATTCTCCCCCCGACGTCCCCTCCACCGGCCGTCGCCTCTGCTTCTTCGCCCGCAGCTGTGAGAGCTCCAAGGCCTCCTCCGAGCACTCGGCTGCAGCGCCTGCGGCCTGAGGAGGTTGGGACGGCGCGAAGAAATCCGGGAACAAACACCGTCCAAAATGAGTTTAAACAAAAACACAGTTAGTGTCTTTTGCTAATGGACTGGATGCTACTGGAAGCTAATGAGCTTTGTTACTTTGTTCATGTATCTTTTGAATGTGATGCCATTTCAGACATTGCTCTTGTGGTTGTGCGGTTTGCTGCATGGTGAAGCTGGGGATTCTCTGGATGCTGGGATCATCCTCATATCAATGTCCTTGATTGACCAGGTCTTCCGTCAAGCATTGCTTCACCCGAAGCGCTCATGAACTGTGCCGATGGCAATGAGTGGGCAAAAGGGTTTGGTAGACCAAACTAGTGTCGAAAGCATGCAAATCCAACAAAGGTTTCAGTGGCTCCACTTGTTCCATTGCCATAGCGGCTGGTTCTATGACACATGGTGCACACAACCACTCGCTTTTACGTGCAATACAACAAGTAATTATCACCTCACCTCGCGCACCATCGCCTGCTCCCAAGCGAGCCGTTTGGTACTGTTTGCTTTGCTCCCAAGGAGTCTGCTCCTCCCGAGCCGATGCGAAAAACCCCTCCGAAGTCCTCCTTCATCCAGGCCGCACAGACCTCCGCGACCTCCGGGAGCTCTTCCGCCTGGACCGAATACGGTGCGGCGAGTCCGACCGAAGACCAATACAGCGCGAGGGACTCAGGGAGGGGCGATCTGTTGGTCTCTGGTGCTTGTGAGTCTACAAACTGAGTCTACTTGGAGATCCAGGTTTGGGTCAAAAGTATAGTCTTCCCAAGTTGCTGCAAGCTTGGGTCCTGTTTATGATTGGTTTATGACTGGGTCAAGGGCTGGATGTTCTTCTTACGAAGAGGATGGAGTCCTCTGACTCATTCCGCCAGGCCACGGCCGCCGTGATCAGCACAAGCACCAGCGCCGCGCGGCCCAGCATGGCGCGGATCGGCCGGAAATGACGGGCGTCCCCGTAAGAACCAAGACGCTGAGGACGATGGAGTCCGGTGGATCCAGCGTTCTCTTTTCACTTTTTCACTTCGTTCTTGCTCCAATTTGCTGTGTCAGTCTGCTCCACGTTCACTCGGACTCATGTATGACTTCTTCACTTTTGGCTTGCAGAATCCATGTGGATGCTTGACTTTTGCTCCGTCTGTCCGAGTTTGGGTGACCAAGTGAAGCCTATTCGTTCCAAGTGCGTTCCAACACCGTCGCCTCCAGCACCGCGCGGTGGACTTGGCTGTTTCTTCCCTCACCTACGGGACGAGACCCAGCTCGGTCCGAAGAGGGAACACGTGGGTCTTATATGGGATGTTCTTGGACTGTTGCTGGGTGGGGAGGATCAGTCCAAACGTCCTATAGGACATGCTTTTTTGCATCACTTAGCTGTGTAAAGGGTGGATCATCCTTTCTTCAGCCCCCCTCCAGCCCATGTGAGGACCCCTTTGCCCAACATGATGGGGGCACCTATCCCCATGAAACAAGGGCACCGCGATTGGAAGCGTTCTTGGCACTGCGATTATTGCGCTGGCAGCTTAGGAAGGCCCTTCACTCACATGGTCACATGATCTCCCCAAATGGTGGATGGATATCCCGAAGATCCATCAATCCCAGTGAATCGAAATGATGCGGAGCGGAAATCCGGGAGCTGTCCTGGAAGGTGTCAGGGAGACCACGGGCTCAACCTGGATGATCTCACTGGCAGTCTTTCCCTAAGGTCCTATAGCATTTGTTCTTCCCGGTGCATTCCCCAAGCTGAGTGCCGATGGGAAAAACACTTTCGGCACGGTGCGCGCTTCGTTGGCCCGTGCCTCGTTCAGCTTGCCACTGGCCCCTGGCTTAGAGCCAGCGTTGGTGACACCACAGGGACCCAACGGACTGCTCACAAGGCCAATCCATGGTCGTTCGGGAGATGTTGACTCATGAACAACTGCAAAAACCATAACATTCAAACAAACACAATGGTCCAATGAACAGGCCCAGCCCGGGGAAACTTGCACCACTTTTGTTCCAGCTCCGCATCCAGCGAGTTCCGCCTGCCAGGGCTGTAGAAGGTGGAGACCGAAATGTGGTTCGACCCAAATGACTTGGTGGGCACGGCGTGAAGGAGAAGATGAACATGAGAGTGATTTCTTTGGAGATTTCTTGACCTATATAGATCGGTCGCTTTTGTTTTGGGACGATTTTGACAAGCGAAGGGGAACACCACCGCAGAGTCTTCATATTTGGAAAGAGATCCCTAGGATCTACTGCAAGTGGAAGGCCAATAGAAGGTCTTCTGGCTCGAACTAGGTGTAAATGATGAAACTTGATTCTGACAAATGAGCAACGAGTGACCCTCAAACGTCTGCAATATTCATATTTTGCTTCAGCCTGCTCTTAAGATGCTGATGGTTGATTATGGCACCTCAAAGACTTAACCTACAACCATGTGAGAAAGAGCTTTCGTCTTCAAGGTCCGCGTAGAAGTTGTAGATTGTGGGCAGGGAGTTTCTCACAGATCCTTGTCAACACTCGACATCCCCTTTGGTCCAAATCGAAAGGCCTTGGAAGGCATCGCTCAGCATCGCAAGTCTGCGCCGCCAGCGGAAGGTGAGCTGTGAGCGCCTGTAGGTTC